CTTGCTGCTGCCATGTGAAGAAGGACATGATTGCTTCCCCTTCCACCATGATTGTACATTTCCTGTGGCCTCCCCAGCCCTGCAGAACCCGAGTCAATTAAACTTCTTTCCTTTTTAAATTACCCAGTATTGGACAGTTCTTTATAGTGGTGTGAGAGTGGACTAATACAGTGCCTACTTCAGTGATATGAAGTTAAAAATCAAATACTATGAGTGCTCACCTGATTTTTTCTTCTTAAGAATGTGATATTTTTGTTTAGATAGTTATTAAATTTGGTGTTCCTGTGGGAGGGATGCTCGATGGAGCCATCGTACTCCATCCATAATCAATTAATGCTTAGTAATTTACAAAATGGTTTTACATATGCTATCTCTTTCAATCCTAACAATCTTACTGTGGGGTGAATGGCATAATCCCTGTTGCATAAATGAAGAAATAGACTCAGAGACATTATTCTTTCTTCCTTTTTCTCTATTTAGACAATCTACAAGGCCCGTCATAGGAACTATATTCTTCACAAGAAAAACATGGACTGATTAACATCCAACTTGAATTCAGTTCATCCTTCTCTGAATTCCTATTGTAAAGTCAGTTTTATGTATTTTACTACTGATGTGCTATTTTTTCTTTTTCAGTCTTTTCCTGTGTATTGTAATTTAGTAATGTAAAAAGACAAGCATAGATTTTACAATTAATGAATTTGATTCCTAGCTGACCTTGATGCATACTTGTTGTGTGATTTTATACAGGTTATCTAGTTCTCCAAAACTCAGTTTCCCCACCTGTGAAATGTGGATAACAATCCTTACCTCACAATCTCGTTTGGTTTATCAAATAAGAAAATTGACATAAAGTCTTTCCTTCCTTCCTTCCTTCCTTCCTTCCTTCCTTCCTTCCTTCCTTCCTTCCTTCCTTCCTTCCTTCCTTCCTTCCTTCCTCTTCCTTCCTTCCTTCCTCCCCTCCTTCCTTCCTTCCTTCCTTCCTCCCTCCCTCCCTCCCTTCCTTCCTTCCTTCCTTCCTTCCTTTCCTTCCTTCCTTCCTTCCTTCCTTCCTTCCTTCCTTCCTTCCTTCCTTCCCTTCCCTCTCTCTCTCTCCTGCCCTCTTCTTCCCCCTCCCTTCCTTTCTAAATTATGTCCACCATCAGGCTGAAAGCCCCATGATGTCAGTGCATTGGCTATCTTAAACCTCTGTCGTTTCAACAGAGTTGATTCATAACATTTGATACCCATGACATAATTTATTGTGTGATTTTATGCATATATCTTGTTCTCCAAACCTCAATTTTCCCACCTGTGAAATGTGGATAACAATCTTACCTCACAATCTCATTTGGTTTATCAAAATACAAATTGATATAAGGTTTTCCTTCCTCTTTTCCTCCCTTCCTCCCTCCCTTCCTTCCCTTCCTTCCTTCCCTTCCTTCCTTCCTTCCTTCCTTCCTTCCTTCCTTCCTTCCTTCCTTCCTTCCTTCCTTCATCCCTTCCTCCCTTCCTCTCTCCTTTCCTCTCTTACTCCCTCCCTTTTTTTCTTAAAATATGTCTGCAATCAGGCTAAAGCCCCATGATGTCAGTGCACATATCTTAAACCTCTGTTGCTTCCCCAACAGAGTTGAATTCATAATATTTGATACCTACATTTACTTGGAATTGGAAGGCTTGGAATGCATGTTTTTGGAGTACTAGGCGTCTACATACAGTCTCATCATCTAAGATCAACTTCAAGAGCCTTTGAATCTAAAATACTTTGCTGGATCTAATTAAAATTTCAACATGCTAATAAGTGAGTTAATGGCTTCCATCTTCACAAATCATTGATTTGTCAAAAAGGAGATGCAGTTTCTTTGATTTTAATGAATAGGTTTCCCCAGAAACTACACATTTTCTGAAATCATTATTAATAGCAATTTTAAATACAAACTCTCCATTGGTGGCTTTTGTTGTTGCTATGACACCAATAATAAGCAGTCACTACACTCATTGACAGAGATAACTCACTTTAAACCCCTTAAAGTTTGCAATTACTTTTGGTTGGAGGTTAGTGAAAAAAGTGTGAGGTATACTTCTTCAGCAGTCTCTAAAAAGTCTATACTAACACAAGGACTGTGATAGACAATCCCTAGAAAAATTGACATCTTCATATGTCCTGTTCTTTATTCTTTCTCTTTCTGTTGTATGCCTGAGGGTTACAGCTCCAAATATTATATTTAAATAACCACTTTCTTCAAATGATATTACAGTGCTTTACAAATACTATTTCTTTAGTCTTTCATAATGTCTAGAGCTCTGAAAGATACATTAATATTTTATTTGTACATTTGCTTGCATCTTGTTCAGAGCTTCAGTCTCAAATCTGAACAATTTTTTAAAAGAATATAAAACATTGTCCTTATTCTTAAGTATTCTTATTTGTTTACACTTTTAGCATACATAAATAACAGTGACTCTTCCCTTTTTAATTCATTTTCCAGATGAGATCCACTTATTCTAAGCCTGGATAAAATAATCTACAGCTTGAGGTAGTGGAAAAAAAAAACTGGGCTTAGAAATAGACTACAGTTGGATTTCTGGATCCATCATGTACTGGCTATGTGACTTTGTGCAAACCTTTAACCTCCTTGAGGCTCAATTACTTAATTTACCATGTAAAGATAAATAATAAAATATTGTCATTATTATGAGACTCAAATGAGATGATGGATCTTTAAAATACTTTGAAAATGTAAAGGATTATGCTAATTCTACCTCTAATAAAGTTATTAATGTAAGTGAATGTTTATTATAATTCACAACAGAGAAATCATTTGTGCATTTTTTTTCCTTTTGAGATATAAAATAGCATCCTAAAACTTAAATATATAATTTAAATCTTTCTATTAAAATTAAGAATAGGATATTAGAATATCAATGTTGGAATAGACCTTAGAGATAGTCTATCCCACATTACTGTATAAAAGGGGACAGTGAGGCCAAGAGGAAAAAGAAACCTTTTTTAGGTTATACAATCAGGCAGTGGTAAAATCAGGACTGGACCTCTGGTTCCCTTTCTTCCCATTCAATGTATTTCCTACTCTACTACAATGTCTTACCTAAATGGTCTTGTTGGGCTTTGTTAGGAAACTACTGTTCATCTCCAACTTTTCATTCACTGCTTTGAACCAAGATTTTAATATGAACTGTCAAGCAGGCTTCTCCTTGGTGGGAGATTACTTTTCACAAAGAGAATGACCTAGAAGGCAATTCTTTCACACATTTTACCTTCCTGCCAGTAGATTGTAAACCATTGCATGGCTACTGGGGCAATAGGTAGGACAACCAGAAAATGTGAATCAAGGCTGGAGGTCATGTTAGTTTTTCCTTAGGGATATACAGATATTGGTCTTGCTGGAGCAACAGATAGAAAGTAAGTTAGTGACTAGCATATGGTAAATATTCCTTTAGTGTTCATTTTATTCCATTTCTACTCACATTATGATAGAATGTTATTGCTTACAAAGTACTTTCCTATTTTTTATTTTAAGTTATTTTCACAACAAATACATGAGGTAAGGATTATTCTCATATTACAGATGAGAAAATTGAGGCTCCGAGAGAGTAAATTAATAGCCAAACTTTACACGGTAAACAAGAGAGCTAAGATTTAAACCTAGACTCTCTGACCTCAAGTGAAGGGATCTTTCCAGTATACCATAATGGCCTATGATTTTGCCATACTTAATGAATTCTGAAAAATATTACTAAAGATGTGACTGCGAATTAATAAATGCCATGTGGAAGAAGTTCTAAAGATTGTAACTAAACTTACATATTTTATAAAAAATAAACATATCTCAATCTTTCTTTGAAACTATATAAATGCTTTTTTTTCTTCCTTTTTTTTTTTTTTAAATACAGATGAGGTCTCACTATGTTGCACAGGCTGGTCTTGAACTCCTAAGCTCAAGTGATCCTCTCGCTTTGGCCTCCCAAAATGCTGGGATTGCAGGCATGAGCCACCATGCCCAGACAGCCACCATGCCTGGTCAACTACCTAAATACTCCTAAATTATAAGAAGAGGCTTCAATTGCTTAGACTGATCAAGTGTCCAAAAGTATGCAACACAAGTCTAGAATCAGAATTAACCTTGCATTGCTGATTTAGCTAAACAAACAGATCTCAGAAGTTGGAAGGGTTCAATTCTACACTTACAAAGGATATACTTATTCTGGAAATTCTGGTTCTCACTTATGTATTAATAATATATGGAAAAATGCAGAAGGAAAAAGAAAAAAAAGAATCATAGATGCTTTATTCCTAAGAATCGTTGCTTCTTTCTCTAGTGCAATTTTTTTTAAGTTGCATAAATTGTGGTTGTGAAGTATTTTCTGAATATACCACATGAAAAACTTTCCTCCAAAAACTAAAGTAGGGGCACAATGAAATGGAGCTAGAATTCTTCATAAGAAAAGCATGAAATGATATAGTCACATTTTTCTCTTACATATTTAGTTCTTTCTAAGCATAGTATTAGAAGTCAGAGAGATCTGGATATAAAACAAAACCCTAAATTTAATAGCTATTTGATCTTAGGCAAGTCAAATAACCTGCTTAAGATAGTTTTTTAATTTGTAAAATGGAGATGATAATACCTACATCATAGGATTGCTATGAGGATTAAATGTGATAACACATGTAAAGCTCTTGGTACTTGATTTGTGAAGTTCAATAAGTGATATTCCCTTTCCTCTCACCCCTTCCTATGATGATTTCCTGTTAACTCCAAAAGCCTACATATTTTCAACCTAAGAAGATAATTTTATTAGCTGTGTTGTTCAGATTTTCACCACTGCTTTGATGACTCAATCTATCTGGAAGAAAGCTTCACTTTCTTACAAATAAAATGTCTTAACTTTTCATATTACACAGATCATCTCACTATAGTTTACCCTTTCAAGCACACGCGCGCGCACGCACACACACACACAACAACAACAACAACAACCACCACCACTAAAGTACCCACCTCTTAGCACCTCAAAAATGTCCAATGTCTGGCACAGATCCTCAGCATGCTCAATTCTTCTTTGGAGGCCTGTAGTCCATGTCTGTATTTTTTACTTTTGTGACTTATCCATCACAACATGGCTTTTATCCTCTGTTGCTGAGGCAGAAATGCCAAAAGGAGTCCATAGCCTTGGGTAAAATAGATTCAATGAGCAGAAGGCAAACCTATGATGAGAACTTGATAAATCGACCACTGAAACACCTTTTACCCATTTAAAGTTAAGCATTTATGCAAAACAAAATAAGATCATAAATCTTAAAAGACCACAATTTAGAATAAACATGAATTCCTAACTACTTGAAATACATCAGATTTTCACCATGAGGAGACTTTTCTGATCCAATTAAATGAAAAGACATATGTACAGTTTACAAACTTGACAGAAACATACAAACAAAAAAAACACCTGAATAAGAAGAGCCATCCCTTTCTACCTCACTCCAAAATAAAATAATAAGTCATTTTGAGAACATTAAAATTAAAATGTTAATCATTACACTGATAACCACTTGATATTTTATAATTTTAGGTGGTTCAAAAAATGTTTTCTATCTAGAAGTCAGATCATTAAACTATGGTCCAGAAGCAAATTGTGGCCTAACAAAGGTTTGTGGAGGTTCTTATTCTTCCCACTCCACAGCTTTGGGAATTTTTCCATTCCTTAAAGATTACTTTAGTTGTATAGTGACTGTATTTTCCAAACTCCAAATCAGGCCATAAGTTCTGACACATGGGGGTTTTGTGTTGTTTCTTGGTGCTGGATGCAATCTAGGAGGTGTAACTTAGATATAAAAAAATTAGAATTTCAGGACACATGATATTAGGACCTCCTAAGGGTGTGTCAAGAAAATAAAGAGATAAAAGAAAAAAATTAGAAGTTTTGGGATATTCTGAAGGCTTAGAAAGATAATGAAAGAGAATGTTTGAAATTAAGAATGCCTTGGAAAATTTGTTTACTGTTTGAATAAATCATCTGAGTCAAGGTTATTGGATAGGTAAAAAAATCAGTTAAAATCGAGAAGAAACTGGAAATCTTATTTAATCTGAAATTATTAGAAAGTATATTCCATGGTTCATTCATACACAAGAAAATTTCAAAAAATGGTATGTAGCTTTATGTAAATATACTCATAACTCTCTATTAGATGTGTGACATGTTCAAGAGTGAGGTGCTTTCCTAGAGTTGATATTGTAGGGATCTTAGGGTTACTGCCCAACTTTGTATTATCAAGCTGTGGAAAAATCTATTCCCATGAAGCACTGAGATTTGAGCTGATCATGCTAGCAAACATGTTATTTGCAGCTCCTTGTTGCCACAACTATCATGATGAAAGAGTCAATCTTGTGTACCTATATCTGTTCCTGAGAAGTCCCCTTCTGATCCTACAGTTTTAATGATTTATAAATGCAATAACAATATCTTTGTGGGTAGTCAAGAAAAGGGTCACAAGTTGCCTCCACAGTCAGGAAGTACACTAAGAAGGTTCTGACTAGCTTTCATTCTGCTATACTGAGCTTCACGAGGACAGGGTGAGTGTTATTCATTTCTAAGGCCCTGTGCTAAGCCTTGCATATAGTAGATGTTCAATAAATAACTGCTAAATAGCTTGTAAGATCCTCAATGAAGAAAGCATTTTCCTGATCTTCCAAGTTTTTCATTTTGTACTCATCATTGAATAGCAGCTATTTTTGTGAGTTGACTATCATCACATAGGCAAACATAATAAGAAGTAATGTTTTGAAGAAGCAGATAGAGTGAGTCACATAATAGTGCAAATGTAGGTATGTATCCTAGAGGAGCTGTTACTCACCTACCTTTCTGTGTGACCAGGATGAAGGAGATAGGTGGTCATTATCTCTTCTTTCAAGTATCACCTGGGAAACCCATCATTCTTAAAAGAAGCAGTGGTATCTTGCAACTTGGCTATTTAGTCTATTTCCTTGTAGAGGGGTAAAAACAAACAGAATTGGTGACTGTTAATTACATAACCCCATCAGAGTTAAATCTTTATAGAAGACAGAGGTAGTGAAAGGGATTAAAAAAGAATATTAGCCTTTGCTAGCTTTTCAGAAATTAATCCTCACGATTGTCTGACTAGACAGAGACAGAAAGAGAGAGGGAGGTAAACTAAAATAAACATGGCATAGCAATGACAAATAACAAATACATATGCAAACACAACATGATCCAAAGAATTTTCTAAAATTCATAAGCAAGTTAAAGGGCTATCTGTCAGGACAGATGACCATCATGAAGAAGAAATGAGCTCCTATTAAAAGAAGAAGCCAAATAGGCTGGGAGCGGTGGCTCACGCCTGTAATCCCAGCACTTTGGGAGGCTGAGGCGGGCAGATCTCGAGGTCAAGAGATCGAGACCATGGTGAAACTCCGTCTCTACTAAAAATACACACACACACACACACCAAAAAAAAAAAAAAAAAAAAAAAAAAAAAAAATGGTGCAGGGGCGGGCGCCTGTAGTCCCAGCTACTCAGGAGGCTGAGGCAGGAGAATGGTATGAACCTGGGAGGCGGAGCTTGCAGTGAGCTGAGATTGTGCCACTGCCCTCCAGCCTGGACAACAGAGAAAGACCCCATCAGAAGAAGGAGAAGGAGGAGGAGAAGAAGGAGGAGGAAGAGGAGGAGGAGGAGGAGGAGGAGGAGGAGGAGGAGGAGGAGGAGGAGGAGAAGAAGAAGAAGAAGAAGAAGAAGAAGAAGAAGAAGAAGAAGAAGAAGAAGAAGAAGAAAGAAAAAAAAGAAAGAAGAAGAAGAAGCCACCACCAAATAAGCCTTCTTCCACCATTTGGAAAAAAGCACCATCCTCCTTTGTAGAACTGACAAACCAGAAACCATTTTTCCCCTGATGGGGAAAACCACCTTTCTTCTGCTTGGGCCTTTTTTTTTTTCATTCTATATTTACCAAGAAATATATCGCTGCGATAGACAATTCATGTACAGTAAATCATCAATATAGTTTAAGCCAATAAAAGCCAAATTGAGACTATTAAGTAGCATAATGCTGTGTAACAGTCCAGTGCCTGACTTACTTAAATATATACATTCTTTGGTGAAATTAGCTTCATTCAGTTTTATGTTTTTACACAAAAATGTTTTTAAGAGGGACAGTAAACCAGAGAGAAGAAACCTGCAGAACTTTGGAGCCTAACTTACATGTGTTATTCATAATTATATTTTCTAACAATAAAGATATGCTCCAATTTGAAGGCATTATTTGAGATTGGCCATGCAAGAGTAAATATGGACTGGATATTTGAGTGCCCAAAATATTTTATTGGGGGCAGGAACCCAAAACATATAATTCAAAGACTGAATATAAATATTTGTTAATGTGCTAAAAAATCAACAATCAGTCATGATGATATTCTTGTCACCCCTTATACTAGCCTTCTGTGTTTCACAGGAAGTAAATTATCAAACACAAATGAACCTTCCAAGAATGTCAAAATGTATCAGTTATTAGTTAAGGACTTAAAGAAAAAGTTCTAAAGCTATAGCCTTCTTTAATATGATAATACATCTGAAGAAAGAAAAACTAAAATTTCAGAAAATATAATTTCATAGATGCAATCAGAAAAAAATCAAGAAGTTAAAAACCAATAAAATGTCATAAAATTATAGCTTACCAAATAATTCCATATATTTACCTCATTTGAGTTTTAGAACCAACATATAAAAAAGGGAAATATTATTTCCTTCATTGTCTAAATAAGAACAGTGACAAATTTTAATGTTACTGTACTTATTCTAACTCATGAAACTCCAGAACTGGAATACAGGTCTTCTGATCTCTAGTACACTTTTTCTTCTGCCTGCTAGAATGCATATACCACAATTTGTTTATTTATTCAACTGTGATGAACCTTTGAGTTATTTCCAGTTTTACAAATTAAGTTGCTATGATTATTTGTATACATGCCTTTGTGTAGGTATATTCTTTTATTTGCCTTGATTAAATATCTAAGAATGAAATGACTGATTCATATGGTAGTTGTATGGTTAACTTAAGAAGCTGCCAAACTGTTTTTCAAAGTAGTTGTACCAATTTGCATTTCCATCTGCAGTGTATGTAGGAGATCTAATTGCTCCATATCCTTGCTATTGTTTTATATGGTCCATTTTTAAGCCATTGTAATAGGTAAGTGGTGGTATCTCATTGTGGTTTTAATTTGCATTCCCCAATAGCTAACGATACTGAGCTTCTTTTCCTGCATTTATTTGCTATTGCTATCTCTATTTATGGTGAAGTGTCTATTCAAATATTTTGTGTTTTTAAAATTTTCTTATTGTCAAATTTTCACAAAACAAGTTTATTGAAGCTTAATTCATGAAAATACAATTCATCCAGTTAAAGTACAAGAATACCTTGGAAATACTGCAAATTAAGTTCCCGACCACTACAAGAAAGCAAATATTGTAACAAAGTAAATATCACAATAAAGTGAGTCACATGATTTTTTTAGTTTTCTATTTCATATAAAAGTTATGTTTACACTATATTGTAGTCTATTAAGTGTGCAATAGCATTATGTCTAAATAATGCACATTCTTTTATTGAAAATATTTTAGTGCTTGCCTGAAAATGCTAACAATCATCCAAACCTTCAGTGAGTTGTAATCTTTTTACTGATGCAGGGTCTTGCCTTGATGTTTATGGCTGCTGAATGATCAGGGTGGTGGCACGTAAAGAATGAGGTAGCTGTGGCAATTTCTTAAATCTAGAAAACAGTAAAGTTTTCCAAATTCATTGACCCTTTCTTTTATACCATTTCTCTACATCATGTGATTCTGGTTGATAACATTTTACCCACAGCAGTACTTCTTTTAAAATTAAAGTCTATGCTCTCAAACCCCACCACTGCTTTATCAAATATGTTTATGTAATATTATAAATCCTTTGTTGTCATTTCAACAATGTTCACAGCATCTCCACCAGGAGTAGATTCCATTCCAAGAAACTGCTTTCTTTGCTTATACATAAAAAGCAACTCCTCATTTATTAAAAAGTTTTAACATGAGACTGCAGCAATTCTGTTACATCTTCTGGCTCCACTTCTAATTCTAGTTTTCTTGCTATTTCCACCAAATCTGCAGTTATTTTTTCCAGTGAAGTCTTGAACCCCTCAAAGTCATCCTTGGGGTTGGAATCAACTTATTCCAAACTCCCGTTAATGTTGATATTTTGACCTTCTCCCATGAAGTGCAAATGTTCTTAATGGCAGCGAGAATGATGAATCACTTCTAGAAGGTATAATTTACTTTTTCCCAGATTCATCAGAGGAATCATTATCTCTGGCAACCATAGCCTTATGAAATGTATTTCTTAAATAACAGGACTTGAAAATCAATATTACTCTTTGATCTCTAGGCTGCAGGATGAATGCCACATTAGCAGGAAAGAAAACAACATCAATCTTCTTATACATCTCCATCAGAGCTCTTGTGTGACTAGATGCATTTTCAATGAGAAGTAATATTTTGAAAGAATTTTTTTTTTCTGAGGTGGTCTTAACAGTAGGCCTAAAATATTCAATAAACCATGCTGTAGTGCTGTAAACAGATATGCTGTTATATGGACTTGGTTGTTCCATTTATAGAGATTAAGCAGAGTAGATTTAGCATAATTCTTAAGGGCACTAGAATTTTCAAAATGGAAAATGAGCATTGGCTTCAAATTAAAGTAATCAGCTGCATTATCCCCTAACAAACAAGTCAGCCTGTCCTTTGAAGTTTTAAAGCCAGGTAATGATTTCTCCTGTCTAGCTATATAAGTCCTAGGTGGCAGCTTCTTTCTGTACAGGGCTGTTTTGTCTACACTGAAAATCTGTTGAAAAGCTTGCCTTCTGCTAGCTTTTGAATTTGCTTGCTCTTGCTTCTCTAGTTCTTTTAATTGCGATGTTAGGGTGTCAATTTTAGATCTTTCCTGCTTTCTCTTGTAGGCATTTAGTGCTATAAATTTCCCTCTACACACTGCTTTAAATGTGTCCCAGAGATTCTCATACATTGTCTCTTTGTTCTCATTGGTTTCAAAGAACATCTTTATTTCTGCCTTAATTTTGTTATTTACCCAGTAGTCATTCAGGAGCAGGTTGTTCAGTTTCCATGTAGTTGTGCAGTTTTGAGTGAGCTTCTTAATCCTGAGTTCTAATTTGATTGCACTGTGGTCTGAGAGACTGTTTTTTATGATTTCCGTTATTTTGCATTTGCTGAGGAGTGTTTTACTTCCAATTATGTGGTCAATTATAGAAAAAGTGTGATGTGGTGCTGAGAAGAATGTATATTCTGCTGATTTTGGATGGAGAGCTCTATAGATGTCTATTAGGTCCGCTTGGTCCAGAGCCGTGTTCAAGTCCTGAATATCATTGTTGAGTTTCTGTCTCATTGATCTGTCTCATATTGACAGTGGGGTGTTAAAGTCCCCTACTATTATTGTGTGGGATTCTAAGTCTTTTTGTAGATCTTAAGAACTTGCTTCATGAATCTGGGTACTCTTGCATTGGGTGCATATATATTTAGGATAGTTAGCTCTTCTTGCTGCATTGATCCCTTTATCATTATGTAATGCCCTTCTTTGTCTTTTTTGATCTTTGTTGGTTTAATGTTTGTTTTATCAGAGACTAGGATTGCAACCACTGCTTTTTTTTTTCCTTTCCATTTGCTTGGTTAATATTCATCCATCCCTTTATTTTGAGCCTATGTGTGTCTTTGTACATAAGATGGGTCTCCTGAATACTGCACACCAATGGGTCTTGATTTTTTATCCAATTTGCCAGTCTATATCTTTTAATTGGGGCATTTAGCCCATTTACATTTAAGGTTAATATTGTTATGTGTTAATTTGATCCTGTCATTATGATGCTAGCCGGTTATTTTGCACATTAGTTGATGCAGTTTCTTCATAGTGTTTATGGCCTTTATAATTTG